CACTGGGTGAGTATCAAGTAAACAACTCACCACTGCCCCTTTGTGTTTGTTACACGCAGGTCGCAATTTTTGTACATGGATATGCCGGTCCATGTACAAGCACTTTGCTCAAGTACTCGAGCTATCTAATCTCTTGCCAAAGTAGTCACGTTGAGGAAATACAGGTATCATGAGCAAGCTCAATCTACCCCGACATAATGTCGCCCAACCACACTACTAAGGCTCTGTTGATTCGGCAACAGCACCTAGGGGACGTAATTGGTAGTCCGAAAGACACAGATTATATTAATTGACAAGACTTTATTTCAGTGGTCACAGAGACCCATTGTGATAAGTTGAGCATACACTCAACCATGTTGGAAAATCGCTTCAAAATTAAAGAAAGGGCAGTGACGACTTCGCACTCCATTGGCTAGATAGACCGTAGTCTAACACTCATTCATCATTCATCGTTCATCTTACATCTGTACCCATTTATCACACATCCGTCAAATCCATCAATCACTCCATTCTCTTTATAGAATTCAAAGTAGACATCAGAAACATCGTTCAACTTCGTTTACCAATTCTTCGCATTATCAGCTCAATTCCAACATTTTATTAATCCACAGTCATGCTCTGCAATTTGTACCGCTCCTTGCATCTAGGAACGATAACAGAAATGTATCTTGAAAATTTATATTTCACCGTGTATCAGTCTTTTAACCAAGCACCCCCTTCCTGCGATTTAGGTTTAAACCACAGCCACTACGTGGATCCCGAAGGAACCTCAACCAACTGACCAGCCAGGACAAGTCCTGTGGGCAACTGGCCACCCGTAGTACCAGATTATGTGGTGCTCTGGTTAGACCTCTTTTCAATTTATGCAAGGACTAGGCCAGGCAGTAAATCGTCAACACCAATTTATAGTCCCGGAAGACTACAGGTATTGGTAGCACCTATCTACCCCCGGATTGCAATACACCAAGATGCGGTCTGAACATCAAGGAAACATGCCCGGGGGGGCACACACAAGCAAAGTATAACATATTACAATGTGCTTTGTGGACTTTTAAAACTAAAGCAGATAATCTGCACCATAATTTAAGTAGATCCACAGATTTAGCCTTTTCTAAGATCCTTTTAAATGTACTCCAACTTAGCATAGGAGATCCTATAGCCGGCTTATTTCACTAAACTCCTGTGTGTCTTTCATTTCTAAAACAAATCCTTTTTTCACCACACTAGGGTGGGTTTGTCACCAATTTTGTTTGAAAACATTCTTTGGCAAATTGACAAATTTCTGGTAATTAGAATTTTTAGATTTATCTTTCTTGTAGATTTTTTTTCTGTTTTGTTAAAAATTCTATCCTTTTTTATTACTTAATCTTTAAATTTTTTTCTTCACCATTTACTTATACTTAGCTTAGAAATATTTGGTTTAATGTCTTGTAAATATCTTGAGTTTTAAGTAGATTTTTGTTTTATTGTTGTTGTGCCTTTTTTTTATTTTGGGAAGTTAATCTTATTAAGCTTTATTATCCTTAATAATTTTTCTTTCTTGGTATTGTTTTATTTTCGGATTTTTATTTTTATTTTATGACTCATAAAATGCTTTTGGACTTTTGAGTTATTATTTATAGGAAATTTTTAAATATCCTTATTTAAATAAGGTTATAATTGTAATCGAGTGGGCGTTCCAGAAAAGGTTAGAATTAGTCAATGTTGTTGGATTGTTGTATGTTCAGATTAATGAAAATTGCATACTAATATATAATTGAATCCTTTTTTACAAGAATATTAACAATTTAAAGACTTCTCGGTTCACTCTTAGCTTTGCAGGACTAATTTATAACAATTTATCAAAGGTTTATTAATCAAACTTTTACACAAAATCTCGGTTGCAATGTAGATTCCCAGACTCGTTTTGTTTCACAATTTTAATTTAAATTTCTGGTATCAATGTCTCAAAGTTTCTGACAATTTCTGTTTTCGGTATTCGATCAGGCACATCGAGTGCTTGCTTATAACCATTCAATTGATCAATTTTATATTGATTACTTGTCCTGTCACCGGCTTTGGTCAATTTGTCCAAAGATAAGGAGTCCGCCTCGTATCTTACATGCGATGGGTAGAAGCTCCAGCATTGTCTTTAATGCTTTGATCGACAGAAAACACACTGTGGTATATCTGGTACATACAGAGCTTTCCCTGATCAGTCACATCGGGTGCTTTCTTATAACCATCCAATATGTCAATTTTATATTGATTACTTGTGCTGTCAGCCGCTTTGGTCAATTTATCCAAAGATAAGGGGACCGCCTCGTATCTTACACGCGATGCGTAGAAGCTCCAGCAATGTCTTTAAAGCTTTTGATCACCATCCAATCCAGTACACTTCTCATTCATCCGACACACTCATAGAGAACAACATCTGACACATTCACTCTTAGTAGGTATACGGGCGATACCATTCATCCTGTATCACAGTTACACCTTTGTGGGATATCTGTTGCCGAACTTATACCGAATTATAGATTTCACCTTGCTTCGGTCCTTTAACCGGAACTCTCTTCCCGAGAATTTGGGTTTAAACCACAGCCTCTAAGTGGATCCCGAAGGAACCTCAACCAACTGACCAGGCATAATAAAGTCCTGTGGGCAACTGGCCCCTCGTAATACCAGATTATGTGGTTCTCTGGTTCGATCCTATGTCAAATCATTCCAAGGAAAGACCGATTATACATTTGATCATCACCAGTTAATAGTCCTGGCAGACTAGAGGTATTGGTAGCACCTCTTTTTCCTGGAATTGCAATCACAAAAAAATGGGGTCTTACATCAAGATAACATGCCACTGGGGGTAAAGCTGATGTTAGAATTGTTCTGGTTCCAAAGACCCAAATTCGAGCCTATGGTTCCCCTTTACAGCGTCCAACATCGAATTGAATTACTGGTTCTATCCGTCATATAGATTGTCATTTTAGTTTTCGATCAAGGACTACTTGGAAGTATTTAACTAATATCGTCCTGTCCAAGAACTGGGATTTCAGTATATACAGGGATTTTATAGTCAAAAAATAGATTTCCATCTTCATGGGCTCGACATTCAGCCCTCTTGACTAAGCGCAGCCTTAACCCGTATTTAGGATCTATAACTTGCTTCATTGTGCCTTACAAGTATTACAACATCTTCTGTTTAGCAGATTGGTCCATCTTGATCATTTAAGGTTCTCAGGATGCTATCCAAGATCTGGGATTCAATATAGGCAGGAAGTTTATAGTCAAAAGATAGATTTTCTAACATTCAACCCTCTTGACTGAGCTCACCCTTAACCCGTATTTGGGATCTATAACTTTCATCCTTGTTCCTTAGTAGTATTACGACAACTTCTGTTAAGCAGATTGGTGCATATCATTGATCATTTAAGGTTTTAAGGATGCTATTAATTGTGCTATTGTAATGGCGTTAAAATGCCGATCTGTGGGGTACCTTAGCATATGGTTCTAATGATTGGAATCTGTGCATTATAGAAAACATCTTTGATATCAAGGCAATTTACTTTCAAAGAATTTCTCTGTGCTTCTCGAATCGTTCAAATGATTGGAGTTTTTACTTTTTAGAAAGTAACTCCGATATCAAGGCAATTTCCTATCAAAGGATTTCTCTATATAGAGTACAACTTCATTCAGCACGGCTGTCACTAGTTTACCTTTTACATGAGAATGTTTTTTAAATTTCAAGACTTTATGCGATTTTTTACTTTTAAACATATTCCAAGATTTTAAGTAGAAAGAACGTAAGGATTACAGGTCTATAAGACAGTACTACCTATCGCTTAACCCGTTTATCTAGGCTTTTTATTAAAAAGGACTAAATTTCTTAAACATTCACCTTAAATATTTTTCAAAATAAAATAAATATTTGCTAAACAAATTTAAACTTTGACCCAACTTACAACATTTGCATACTTTTGTGTGCTTTTTGTAAATAAATGTTGCCTACTTTTTTGGTTTAACTTTATAACCTATTTTTCGGAGCCACTAAAGACAAATGGTCTTTTTTATACTACTTTAAGACCGACCACAAAAGTATATAAAAAGTACTATCATTACAACTGTTTGGATAAGTGGTTGTTGACTGACTGTTAGACTTGATTTTTTTTGGAGTTTGACTTAAACATTTTAATTTGTAATTTACATTTAGTTGTTTTGTTTTGTATTACTAAACAAATGCACATATATGTATGTGTGGATGTGTGTATGTAAATAAAGATTTAAAGCATTTTTCAAGATTTTTCATTAATGATAAAAAATTTCTACAAAATAAAGAAGAAATGTTAATGTAAATTTGTTGTAAAGGTTAGGTTAGTTATAAAGCTAAGCAGAGAAAAAGTAAAGCATATATTCTAGGAGGAAAAAAAATAATGTAGGTAAAAAGCAATTTATTTTTAGAATTGAAAAAGAAAAAATTGAACAAAAGTTCAAAGGTTTTTTTAAATATATTATTACGTTTGCTAAAAATAAAACTAGAAAACAAAATAAACAAATATATCAGTCACATACCTGATAAAGGGTTTGCCAATAAGAGTGGTAGGGTTTTTAACATATTCTAAAGGTTGAATTATTTTCTAGGTTTTCAGACATGATCTCACTCTATGGCATTGTAAATTTTACTTTTTTAAGGGAAACCCTTTTATGTTGCCTTAACAAAGTGTGGGTGTATGCATATAAAAATTCATTTTCTTTTCCACAAATGTATAAAAAAACATTTTTCTACTGGTTCAAATGAAACTGAAATGTAAGATACAAAAAGATTAATACAGATTAAAAGATAAGAAATAAATAAAAAGAAATGTTTTATAAAAAAATCTCAAATGAGTAGTTTCCTTAAAAAAAGAAATAAATAAAATAAGGGAAGGAAATACAAAGAAATTAACCAAAGAAAGAGAATATAAAATCTAAATACAAAAAAAAAGTATTTTATTAAATTCTTTTCATATAATTTTTTTTACTTGCAGTACCCCCTTTAAGTCTGCTATTGCAGGGTTTAAATCATGCCTTAGTAGCGGGGACCAGAACCCATGTTACCTGCACAGCAGTGGGTGCTCGACCAGCACCACAAATAATATGGTCCAAAGGTGGACAACAGATTAAAGGTGCTACACAATCGGTAAGTTTGTCTTTCCTAAACAATAACTTGCCACAAAAATCAAATTTTCTCTCTCTCTCTCTCACAGACTTCCAGTGATGGCAATACCACTGTCTCCGAGTTAATTTTAATACCCGTACCCGAGGATAATGAACGTCAAGTACAATGCTCAATATCCCTTAATCCCAGCATGACCTCACAACATTTACCCGAAGGTCATACCACTATAACAACGGTTATGGCTAATGGTAATACCGGTTTATATTTGAAAGACTCTAGGGTATTAAATGTCACACGTAAGTATTGGTTTTCAAATTATTTGTATATTTTTAGGCGCTCATGTTATAATTTATCTTATTGTAATTAACTGTTTTCTATTTTCATTATATTTTGTATTTATTCATTAGATGCCCCCATTGTTTCTTTAAGTCTGGGTGCTCCCTTGGATCCAAATAATTTGTTAAAAGGTTCTGATGTTTATTTGGAATGTGAAGTTAAGGCTAATCCAGGCATTACCAAAGTGGAATGGTATCACAATGTAAGTAGATAGTATACACATATATTAGATTTGAAACATTTTTTTTACAAATTAAACATTAAAAAAGTACTGCATACTGCTAGGCTGGCGTTAAAATAGAAACTAAAGTCCAAAGTAATTTTTTAATAAAAATTCCTAGAAACAATAAATAAAAAAAATTTAAGCAGATAATCTTAACTACAGAACACGTGCCAACAAATTGCATTAAAGTTAAAGTTTATCAACTATGAACTTTTGCCTTATTATAGCTAAATAACAAAAAAATAATAATTGAAAATTAATTATAATTAATTTGCTTTAATAATAAATCTAAAGCAGATTTCTAGGAATTTCAATCAATAAAGTTTACATTTCTTTACAATTACTTAGAGCCACAAAACAAAATGGATCATCAAATTTTAAACAAGTGCCATATGATTAAATTAATAATGTATACTATAACTTAATTACTTAAATTAAAACTAATTAGTTTTTGAATTTTAGTAATGAACCTAAAGCAGATTTCCAGGAATTTCAAAATACTTAACATTACTTTATTGTTTATAGTTAAGACGTTGCCACGGATATTTGCACAACGGAGAAATTTAGTAACGCATTTTGCTGATTTTAAGTAGAAAACTTCTCGAAAGCATATCTGACAGAATTATTGAATATTTAGAATTTGAAAATATTTAGAACTCAGAAAATTGATATCAACAAACACACAGACGGACGGACAGACAGGTGGACGGATAGACAGACATAACTTAATCGACTCCGCTGTATATAACGATCCATAATTTATAAACTTTACAGGGTTGGAACATTATATTGTGGAAATTACTAACGGGATGATAAACTTAGAATTAACAAGTAAGAATTTATAATCGGGTATGGCCGACCACATGTTAACTTACAGCAACAATTATGTTAACAATATCAATTTAATCTTGTTTCAGAAATATTTTAACAATTTCAGATAAGAGATTTTCTAAAAGAACGTTTATATGGGGGCAGGGGGTTAAAATAGGCCTATCCCATTTATGTCTATATTAAAGAATTTATGCAGAATATCATCGTAATATTAGTGTTTATAGGTAAATTTTAACCATCAAGTTTGTAAGGGAGATATGCGAAATAAAAGACCGATTTTAACCATTGCGTCCTTGAGACGAAAGAAGAGTATGTGCCAAATTTCATCAAATTAGTTTCGCGGCCTGTAGCGTGCGCACAAGGTTTACATGCACAAACAGGTAGACAGACAGACAGACAGACAGACAGACAGACAGAGAGAAGACAGACAAAGAGACAGATAGACACACTCACATACATATGGGTGTAAGACCAATATTTTTGGGTGTTACAAACATCAGCACAAACGCATAATACCCTCCACACTGTAGTTGTGTAGAGTATAATAAGCTTAATAATTCAATGGTTAGGCATACATATCTTTAGACTGGTTAAAAAACATATACTGAAGCATAGTTATAGGGGTTTTTACACCTAAAGATTTAGGAAATGAAAATTCGAATGACAGTTATTTAGATAGTTCATTAGTTAGTTAGTTAGTTAGTTAGTTAGTTAGTAGTTAGTTAGTTAGTTAGTAGTTAGTTAGTTAGTAGTAGTAGTTAGTTAGTTAGTTAGTTAGTTAGTTAGTTAGTTAGTTAGTTAGTTAGTTAGTTAGTTAGTTAGTTAGTTAGTTAGTTAGTTAGTTAGTTAGTTAGTTAGTTAGTTAGTTAGTTAGTTAGTTAGTTAGTTAGTTAGTTAGTTAGTTAGTTAGTTAGTTAGTTAGTTAGTTAGTTAGTTAGTAGTTAGTTAGTTAGTTAGTTAGTTAGTTAGTTAGTTAGTTAGTTAGTTAGTTAGTTAGTTAGTTAGTTAGTTAGTTAGTTAGTTAGTTAGTTAGTTAGTTAGTTAGTTAGTAGTTAGTTAGTTAGTTAGTTAGTTAGTTAGTTAGTTAGTTAGTTAGTTAGTTAGTTAGTTAGTTAGTTAGTTAGTTAGTTAGTTAGTTAGTTAGTTAGTTAGTAGTTAGTTAGTTAGTTAGTTAGTTAGTTAGTTAGTTAGTTAGTTAGTTAGTTAGTTAGTTAGTTAGTTAGTTAGTTAGTTAGTTAGTTAGTTAGTTAGTTAGTTAGTTAGTTAGTTAGTTAGTTAGTTAGTTAGTTAGTTAGTTAGTTAGTTAGTTAGTTAGTTAGTTAGTTAGTAGTTAGTTAGTTAGTTAGTTAGTTCGTTAGTTAGTTCGTTAGTTAGTTAGTTTAGTTAGTTAGTTAGTTAGTTAGTAGTTAGTTAGTTAGTTAGTTAGTTAGTTAGTTAGTTAGTTAGTTAGTAGTTAGTTAGTTAGTTAGTTAGTTAGTTAGTTAGTTAGTTAGTTCGTTAGTTCGTTAGTTAGTTAGTTAGTTAGTTAGTTAGTTAGTTAGTTAGTTAGTTAGTTAGTTAGTTAGTTAGTTAGTTAGTTAGTTAGTTAGTTAGTAGTTAGTTAGTTAGTTAGTTAGTTAGTTAGTTAGTTAGTTAGTAGTTAGTTAGTAGTTAGTTAGTTAGTTAGTTAGTTAGTTAGTTAGTTAGTTAGTTAGTTAGTAGTTAGTTAGTTAGTTAGTTAGTTAGTTAGTTAGTTAGTTAGTTAGTAGTTAGTTAGTTAGTTAGTTAGTTAGTTAGTAGTTAGTTAGTTAGTTTAGTTAGTAGTTAGTTAGTTAGTTAGTTAGTTAGTTAGTTAGTTAGTTAAGGTTAGTTAGTTAGTTAGTTAGTAGTAGTTAGTTAGTTAGTTAGTTAGTTAGTTAGTTAGTTAGTTAGTTAGTTAGTTAGTTAGTTAGTTAGTTAGTTAGTTAGTTAGTTAGTTAGTTAGTTAGTTAGTTAGTTAGTTAGTTAGTTAGTAGTTAGCTCATTCGTCAATTCGGTTTGTAAACATTATATTCCTGAATTCTTGTTAAAAACGCTTTTCCCTTTATATCTGTAGCATACTTTTAAGCTTTTTGTAATCTGTTTGTTTCATCTTTTATGTGTTTTCCTTTGTAAATATATATTTTGTTCACTTTAAACTGAAACATTTATTTCTATTTATTTTTATACTTACACTTTTTAATATTTATTAAGATTTTTTTTCTCATTTTTCTCATTTTCCTTTACTTTCCTCAGAACGACTTTGTTTTCTTTTTAATACTTAATATTATTTGTTTTTATTTTAAGTAATTCCTTATTTTTGTAATTCCTGTTAAGAGTTATTATGAATTATTGAAATTGTCTGCAATTTATAGACTGTTGCAATTGCCAACAATTAGTATTAAGTATTGAAAGGTATAACTTGTGGAATTTAATCACCTGAATGCATTTTATATTTTATTACTCCTCAAGATTTATATTTGTAATGATTAAAGAGTAGTGTAACTCTTCGAAACCTAAAATGCATAAAAATATTACTAGCCAGAAAAGTAGGGTATCACAATTTCAACCTCTTGGTCTACCCCAAATAATTTTGTTTCATTTTCTTGTTTTTCTATAAACATAAATATATATATTTTCTGCTCATTAAAGTATCACTTGAGACATAAAAATCCCCGAGTTTCTATGTTCTTTGGTGTGTTTAATTTGCTCTTAAACTGTATATAATTTCAACTGTGAGCTGTAGTCGAAAGTGTTTTTTTTTTTTGTATTTATATTGTATAAATAAGTATGAGTGAATGGTGTGGCTTGTTGTATTAGTAAATCCTTGTTTTTTAGGTATTAAATAATATTTCTCTTTGTAAGTAAGTATATGTATGAATATAGGAGGAGTGAGTGAGTGAATGAATGTGTGTATGTAAGTGAGATTTTGTTGTTGTTTATTATTTAAGTACACACTTAAACTAAAGGTTCAAGCCATAATATGTAGAGAGTGTAACAGGAAACAAGCTGTAACAATAAACAGAGCTAACAACAGCACAGCAATACAAACAGAAATTTGGAGTGTGTGTTAAGTTAATATTTCCCAGCAGTTTTATAAGCATTCAAATGATGTCCTGTTTGTAAAGGGAATGTCAGTTGTATCCAGGAAATTACTTGTTACTTTAGTGTCCTAAGAAATTGACTGTATTATGGCTGTAGTCTGTTAATGACTCCATTTTCTTTCTTTAGGAATAAAGTCACGCTGAAATCTTATAGGTAATTTTAAAACATCAAATGATTGAAAATACTTACACTGCACTGCAGGGTAAATACTTGTACAACGGCTTATGAGTAAAATACAAACGTAAAATTTATACAAAAGTATTAAAACAAAAATGGAAAAAGTGTTAAAGCATAAAAGTTGATATGAAGTATACTTCCTCTATTTAAACATTATTACGTTTTATTATTTTTTTATATATTTTTTCTACTTCAAATTTAGCTTTTTTATTATAATACAGAAAATAAAACCATGAGTTATTTGTTTGTAGTAGAAAATAACATAACAATGGTTTAATTGAAAACAGAAAATTAAAAAAATATATATAAAATAATTACAAAAAAAAATTTTAATGACTTTTCCATGTAAGGATTTAACGAAAGCTGAAAAAAATCACTTAAATTCAGTTAATAACAGACAATGAAAAAATAACTTGTACACATTTTTCAAATGTTGGAAATTATAAGTTATTTTGTGTTAAATACCCATATACTAGATACAAGATACAAGAACTGGCATTGACGGACGGGCGGACGGAAGGACTCCCTCATATAAAAGGAATAAAAATTTCAATCTATATACATTCTGCTCAAGTAAATGAAACTTCTATTCTTTAAAAAAAAACTAAAAATCTTAACTAGACTTACATGTCAATAAAAGTAAATACAATTTAAAAGAACTCATTAAAAACTTAAAATCTTCTTTCTTTTCGTAAGAATATTATTTTGTTAAGTTTTTCCTAATCTTAGCTTAACTTTTTAAATACAAATAAAACAATGTTAGTAGTTATTTATCAAATCTATAAGAAATAGTTAAATTTAATAATCCTTTCATACTTTATGTTGTACATTGACTAATTTTTCAATTGCCTTTGTGTTTGTAGCAGCTT